ACTTGAGCTGGGCACTCGCATCTTGTTGTTGGGCTCTCTCTCGACGTATCGTCACGTCAACAGTAGAAACCGCGATGTGCCCAGCACCAAAGCGGGTACGTTTATGCCAGGCAGGGTTCTAATGTATGTTCTGCAAGAACTGGAAGTTGGCTAACGCAAATGCAGGATATGTTGTAATTTAATTTCCTTCTTAGCTTCGAAGATATGTGTTCAAGGGGGTTGGTGACAATTCCCTTAGAAAAACACCACCCGCCCCAACATATTTCTTTGCAAAACATGCATTTCCTGAGGATTTTTTTAAAATGGTACTTGTTTTTAAGAAAATATTGCCAACTCATGAAATTGCATAGAACAAAAGGAGTCTATAGTTTTTTTTTCTGATGCGAATTTTGCAAATATTTCCATGACGTTTCTTCTCATGACTTTTGCACGTAGATATCTGATCAGATACCTGAAAATTTCAGAGTGCCCCCACCGAGTAAACTATTTTTCAGTTATATACAGTGAGTGTCCCATGTGTTTGGGACTCATTTTGATTAAGTCAGTCTTTGCATTACGTCACTCTGCTTAATTTCAGTCCAGCCATGGGCCGTTAACACATGGCGTGTGCCACCTCGAATATTGAAACGGCAAGACTGAGTTTAACACCATCTGGTATTCTTGGAATTCCTTTTAGTTTTTAATTTGTTTTGCATGGCTGATGGCCGATGACAATGTTTTTAAAGAACCATGTGATCTGTGCATTCCAATGTTGGCATTTGTGAGTGTGTGTGTGCATATCTGTCCAAAATTAAGGCATTGCATTTCATGCTTTCTTGAGGCTGTTTTTCACATCCTATATTAAATCCGGGACAGTGAGAACTAAACCCGAAAATATGCATATGGGTCAATGTGTCTACATACAATGCTTTATCATGTTCAAGAAAGGTGTTTCATTTATTTTTATTTTTTTAAGCACAAGGCTCCAAAATAATAGTAATCTATTTTTATAAGTCAGAGGATGTGAGATCTTTGCTTTCCCTCATGGGTTTATATCTCAGAGCACCATCACTTTGTTGATTTAGCCTTGTAACAGTCAATGATGAAACAGTTAAGAAACTTCAGGCTGAACATGTTGCCCGTTCTGGTCCCCTACTGAATGCAAACAGCACGGGGATTGCTCGGTACAGACTAAAAACACCATTCTGTTGGAACATCCATCCATACAGCACGCCCTTTAAAAATAATTTTCCTTCGAGTTACTCATTTTATAAGAGTTTATTTTACTAAATCTCGTAGTCACTCTGACCTTACTCATTGGATTTGTATTTGAAGAGCAGGTCATGCACGAGAAAGGGGGGAACGTGGCTTCGACTTCAGTGTCTTTTAAAGCTTGGGTGGGTGCACACGTTCTTCATTCCACCTTCCAGCACATCTGTGTGCTTCGGACTTGTGAGTGGGATCTGGCCAAATCTGGTAGGCAACTGCACGGCCTTTGACATTTTGCTGCTTAAAGAGATGTATGACTTTGCCATGTGGCGGCTCTCCATGTCCACAGACATGCTTGCAGAAGAGAAGTACAAAGGGCTACATGGAAAGAAAAGGTCTTCCCAGGCACAGCACTGGAAAATAATGTCCACGATGGCCAAGAATCCACAAGGTGACTCAAGAACATGTGAGCTGGAGAAGCCCTGATAGGGTGCCCAGGCTTGCCTCTTCCCCGCACCCATCTCACCATCACACCTCCCAGGGCAAGTACTGCTCCCATCCCCACTGCCCAAGGAGCTGGACTTTTCAGGGCCAACCCTGGGAAGAAAGGAAGGGTACAGAAGGGGTCTTGGAGGTCTGTGTGGGTGTCCTTCTATGGTCACCAAAGGCTCTGGCACCTCCTAGTTAAGCGCACAGACGTTCCCTGTAGAAGGTCACAGTTGAGCCCTATGACCAGACACAATGCAGACATGAGCAGCTCTGTTTGTCCAGCTGAGTCACAGTCAGCAGAGAATGGGCAACCCCTTGAGATTTGTACAGCGAACTTCAGAATGAGGAAGAGAAGCACAAGACAAAGCAATGGATCACGGAGAGCATGGACCCCTAGGACCTCTTTACACGCCCCATTTTCTGGGAAGATCCACATCTAGCCAACACACTCACTGGAGCCCACTCCACATCTGCCTTGCATTATGTCAATCCCAAGGGGAAAGCATTTGCAGGGTGCTCTTCATGGTATCTTCACGATCAGGTCCAGAGAGAAAGACAAAATCTCAGCCACCGATAAGCACGCCCTACCTACGACACACTGAAAACTGAACATTTACGAGGATAGAAACAAGAGAGGTTAATTTCTACTATGCTGAACACTAACATCCTATAGCTCATTTGCGTCTTATTTTTCCCACAATGGAAGCTAAAAAAAAGAAAGTTAAAAAAAAAAACACGTTTGCATGAAGGTCATCCATGCAACTGAGCCAACAGTCATTTGTTAACTCTGCATTTTGTTGGATACAGAGCTCAACTGCAATTTTAATAGGTAGCCACCTGCCTCCACCCCCCCACCCATGGAGTATGAAATTTCTGGATGTGATGCAGGAAATTTCTGGACTGTGTTCCATTCCTTGAACAACGTTAATGGCCACTGGTATTCTCAGACTCAAATTCAAACTGATACACCCTTCTCTTCCCTTCTGGTTTCAAGACCTAAAGTCACCAGACATGAAGCACTAAAGACACGGGATGTAGACCATCACATGATGTTTTCTTCACAAGCTACAAAATGCACATCAGACGATAAAAAATGCACACATCATATTTGTCTTAGCTTTTGTCCCCAAGAGAAACAGATTCTTGAAAGAGCAATTTGGAAAATAAAAATCATAGGCTCTGCCAAGTATGAAGATTTACATCACGGTACAATTCCTGTGCACCAGACATATGGTTTTTTTATACACACACACGCCATCTGTGGTTATAACCGAACATGTTCAGTTCAAACTTATAAAGTTAAGTCTATGAGGAAAACCAAGGTACCACAGTAGGTTCATCACACTAAGAGATAAGATAAAATCTACAACCAAACAATTTTCCAAAAGGTCCTACTGTGCAGTAGATTTCCAGTTGCTTAATGATGCTTAATTTCCAGTTGCTTAAATAATGCCAGGTCCATGACTTTGTACGGATATCCAGTCTCTTTATATACATCCAGACTTATAGAATATGGAAATGTCCTTATCCTGTGGACATGACCCTTCTTCAGGGCTGATATGCCACTCTGATGGGCAGGTTCAAATCATCCTGTTTGCAACACGAAATAAAGAATTTTGTTAGTTTTCAGAATAACTGGGTAAGTTTTGTAATAATCATACTAATAATTCAAAAATAACTCAATAATACACACACAAAAACCAACTTTCCATTGAAATTCCTCTTGCAAAGACCCACAAGAATGAATTCTAAGGGGTGGGAAATGCTTAATAAAATAATTAAGCAGTGAGATGCCAGGTTGGCTCAGTCGGTTCCCAAGGATACACACCGCCTTGAGAAAGTTATTCCTATCTGCAGAATCTGCTAAAAAGGTAGCTGGGGCAGCTGGGGGCACAACTCCTAACCATGAATAGAAAACTATCCACTAAGTACGCAACAAACCCCATTGGACGGCAGATTTGTGTTTCCTTAAGTAAATTTAACAGTATCTCTGTTACAAAAAGGCCCCAGTCCTCTGACTTATCAACGAAGTGTCCTTCACTAGAAAACATACCATGTCTTCCATCATTTAAAGATGACTGGATAAAAATAGTGCATAAAATATTATGGGCAAATCATTCAAAATTGAAGCAAATGAAGAGAACAGAAAATAAAACCCGAATTTAGAAACCCCTTCTATTTTTAAAACTCATTAACTGGCCTTCACTAGGTTTGCAGAAGCTGGAAAAGCTAAAGAGAGTCTTTAAGAAAAACCTGAGGAGAACGATCATTATGTGTTGAAAAGACTAAAACCCATCAAGCAGACATGTTCCGTTCTCATCCACCCAGCCACCTGTTTCTCTTACTGAATTTTTGTTTCCATGTTTTAACTTTTAGGCAGGTTTCCTCTCGTTATCTGCATGGCAATACCAGCCGAGAGTAGAAGTTTCTGGTATACCACGCCTCCCTCTCTTCGAGGGCTCTATAATGGTGTCAATTTGCACATGGTACTGACCAATTATTTCTCCCATTCCTCATAAGTACTGTTGGGGGGACAGAAGCAAAAAACAAGAAAAGTCAAGGAGTAGACATATCATCGGCAATATCTTGCTTCTCTTCCTGCAATTTTTCTTGCCTGGCTGTCGTGAGAAGAAAAACCTGATTTAAGTGGTGTTATGTCACCGAGCTCCTCACAGAACTGGAGTAACTGAAAGGTCTTTACTACGCACATTCAAAAATCCTTCAAAGTCATCAAGTCATAGATTCCACAAACACAGAGTCATAGACCTTCAAAGGTTCCAAAAAATGAGAGACTCAAAAATCCATTCTTTTAAATGTCAAATGGAGCTTAGCAAATTCCATTGGAGGTGTTCGCTGCTGTCATCAGTTTTTAGTGAAAAGGGGACCTAAAAAAAACCCTTTTGAAAATATTTGGTAGGTATCTATGAAGAAGCTGGTGTGGAACTCAGGGTTTCCAGAACACAAGAAGTCAGGAATTTTTACCAAAGGGGCTGTGTCCCTGGAATGTGTAGGCACACACGCCTCTCCCAGGGGTCTTACTTAGCCCTAGACTCGCCCCCAGCAGGTGTGTCTGGGGAGTGGGATGTTGGGGGCAGTGCTGTCTCTGGGCCACACCACATGTCTTGAATAACACACCCCCGGGCGTTGATGAAGCTGATGCTAGGAAGGACTCCATCTAGCTCCGCCCCACTGCTCGAGTTCCAGTGGACGAGGGAAGCCCCACTCCAACAACGCAACATCCCCTTGAGGTAAGGACACGTCAACCTCACTGATGCGTAATTACTAAAACTAAAGATATACCTTCCAGATGAGGATTCCTGTCCTCAGAAATTCTTGAAGACTTCCAAATCTTTCGGTGACACTGGAGGGGCCGTATTCCAGTCATTCTCGGGATACGCTTCAAAGTTGGAGGTATCGCCCTCACCGCATAGCTTGGGCACGATGGGGGGCTGCAGGGCCGGGGCAAGACACAAAGGCACAGTCAGAAGGGAATGGTGTGTACCTGGATGGGACGTGCATCATTTTATATCTACGACTTCGCATACAAATGGAGATGATTTAGGGGGGGAAAGCACAAAACATCGAAGTTTTCCTTCCTTCGTTTATGAACGCGGAAAGCTTTGAATTGGAGATACTGCCAATAAGCTATCCGCCAATGGTGCAGTACGAGGAATGAAGGGAGGAAGGATGGTAGCCAGCCCTTGCTTCTTAAATTCTAGAGTGGAGAACCACCCAGATTCCTTGTTAATGCAGACTGCAAGGCCTGCCCAGGTCTGAGTGATTCTGCGGTAGCTGGTCCAGTGGCCAGAGTTTGGAAAGTCCCAGAAAGAGGTCAAGAAAAAGCTCCAGTGTTAGTATCAGCGAAGCCAAGCCTCAGTCCCGCATCGATAAAATGAGGTCACTGGCACTGAAAAGGAGGTCAGCCAAAGGTTCCTGTAGAGGGCCAGGCAGTAAATATTTTTGGTTGTGCAGGCTGTAGAATTGCTGTGCTGACTACTCAGCCTCTGCCCCGGCAGGGCGAAAGCAGCCACAGACAACATGTAAATCAATGCAGGTGGCCGTGTGCTAATAAAACTTTATTTATAAAAACAAGCAAGGGGCTTCAGGAGGAAATAGAGCAAGAGAGTAACACACGGTAATGCATAACCTTCTAATACTGATTTGGTTTTTGAACAATGAAAATATATGGTTTAGTCAATTAAAAAGTAAGTCATTTAATACAATAAAACACTTAAAAGCAGCTCATTGAGACACTGGTGGTCTGGGCCGGACCCTAGGTTCTCGGCTGGGGGCCAGATATAAGCATTTTTAAAGTCTTTCCATTGACTTTAAAAAGGCCGAAGTTGAGAATGTTGTTAGGAAGACTCATGTCAAAAATACATTTCAATTCTGGGTCGCTTGGGTGGCTTAGTCCGACTGTTGATTTTGGCTGAGGTCATGACCTCAGGGTCATGAGATCAAGTCCCCCAGCAGGTCTCAGTGGGGAGGTGGCTTGAGATTTTTCCTCCCCCCTTCTCCCCCTCCCCTGCTCACATATGCATGCTCTCTTTCTTTCTCTAAATCTTTAAATATATATATATATATATATACGCTATATATATATATATATATGCAATATATGTATATATATTCAGTTCAAAGAAAGGTGATCTAGAAAATATTCTCCATCTAATCTACCACCATCACTGCACAATATCCATAAGTGCTGGACAAACACCTGATCTGTGTTACACCATTTACCATTCCCGATTAGAAACTGGTGGGACGGGACTCATCTTGGTCATTGTCCCAGTGAGGGACAGAGCCAGGTCTCAAAAAATCCAACTGTAAAATGTGGGGTCTTAACCCATTACCTCTAGGTGTCTCTGTAGCACTAAGATTTCCACTGTAAAGGGATCTTGGCTTATTAACGATTTGAGATGATCAGCTGTATTATACAAATTAATTATGTATCAGCTATAAATAAACAAGTCAGACTCAGACTCTGCCCCTTGCCGAAGACAGGTAAAGGATGCTGAGCTGACAGTCGCCCGCGTACGTATGTTGTACCTTCAGTTTCCTTTGTGGGACCGCCTCCCAATCCACAGTTCGGAACCACCGGTGTCGCTTCACGTCATCCGCTCCATTCTTCAAAAGAAACAGGCATCATCAGTAGACAGAATTTTGACAGGACAGGGAAGAAAATATTCCAGAGAATCTCTACTTTACTCAGTATAGAATTAAAAAAATTAAATCAAATTTAAACAATGTGCTATGTTTTGAGTAATGGTCCCTGGACCGTGAGCTAGGAGGGGAAACGTATAAATGAAGGTGTTTGTTCTGTTCACTTTAATTCATAGTAGAAACAAATCCCGTCATTACTACTCTGGACCACACATGAAAGTAAGACTATGGCTCAGGCTCCTGAGATAAAACAAGACAGACACACGGTCATTCCTGAGTCTGCCACCTGTTTTCATCTTGACGGTTTTCTTTGGTATTTAGCATCCTCATCATACAGACCTGGAAACCAACGTTCACTAAATGGTGTAACTGGCTAATTACTGTGATGCTAGTAAATCACACAACTAGGACTCAAACCCATGATGTCCAACTTCAGAGATCTGAACAGCTACCCAGCAGAACCCTCCAATTATAGTATCAGTGTGTTCGTGTAATAGTAATGGTGTGTTAAGGTCTGGCTGCTTCCTTCTCGAGGGTGAAGCCAACGGCCAACTTGCAGATGCCAATGGCATCATGGTCTTTGAAAATCCCTCCCAGGTGTTCGGCCTTTGACCCTACCCTTCTTCTCCGTTTTAATGGCCCTTGGAGCAACTTTTTTAATCTATTAATGTTGGGAGTTGTTAAGATAGAAAACACATGAATTCTGCGACACAGGAAGAAGCCAATGGATCTGAATATAACAAAGTTTGTGAAATGTCACCTGGAACCTGTGCAGAAGAACTTATTTGGAAATAGGGTCTTTGCAGATACGATTAAGCGAAGGATCTTAGAAGAGCTTATCCTGGATCAGGGTGGCCCTAAATCCAAGGACAAGTGTCCTTGTAAGAGACAGAAGAGGAGACACAGAGGAGAAGCCACATGAAGATGGAGGCAGAGATGGGAGGGATGCAGCCAAAAACCCAGGGATGCCTGGAGCCCCAGAAGCTGGAAGAGGAAGAAGGACCCTTCCCCAGAGCCTCTGGAGGGAGCATGGCCCTGCCCCACCTGGATCTTAGACTCTGGTCCTTTGTTATAGCAGCCACAGGACACAAATATACCCAAATCAACATAGGGTCCTGAGAGCATGGTGGGAATCAAACCTCACACACAGGTCTACTGTGTCTCCCAAGACTACAGCAGACAAGACCAATGCACTGCCCATGTTTAAGTTCCTCCATGGATGTCCAGAACTGGAAATAGCTAAGATGACGTTCCCAGATTCTCTTAGATTCAGTGGTGCCACAACAGAACCAAAACATGCATATAAGATATCATACCATTTATGCAAAAATCTCTTAAATGTATTCCCCTCCACCTGAAAAGTTTGTGAAAATCATACACTATGTACACATTCTCAAATGATTAATTCACACACAAATGTGCACACCCATGGTTATGGCAATATTCACAACAGCCAAAAGGGGGAAACAACCCAAATGTCCATCGATGGATGGGTGAATAAGCACAATGGGGTCTACCCATGAGCGTGACTCAGCCATAAAAAGGAACAAAGCACTGACAGCTGCTAGCATGTGGACGGACCCTGAAAACATGATGCTCAGTGGGAGGAGCCAGACACAAAACATCACTTATGGTGTGATTCATTTACATGAAAGCCCAGAACAAGGAATTCTCAGAGACAGAAGCCAGATTAGTGGTTGCTCAGGGCAGGAGGGATGGAAGGATCGGGTAACAATAGCATAGGGTTTGGGGTTTCTTTTTGAGATGAAGGAAACGTTCTTTAACACTGACTGTGGGGATGGCCGCACAACTCTGGAAACGTATTAAAAGCTGTTGAACTGCACACTTTCAAATGCGGAGGTGTGTACGGTATGTGATTTATAGGTCAATCATGTTATTTGAACAGTCAAAATAAATAAGCAAAATACCGACATCTTATTGATGATGGGTGAGTCGTCTACTCGTTTGCAGAGAAGAACGGATGCGGTATAGACCCAGGTGGATTTCGCATGCCCAGACACCCAGATTTGAAATGTAGCCAACAATTAAACACGATCGCCGTGCCTTTGTTTCTATTAATAGAAACGTATGGTGCCAAGTGACGGGAGTGTCTAATGGATGATACATATGAAAACGAACACTGACCTTCATGTTTCCGAGGCGTCTGGTTCTGTCAACAACAAGCAATTTCCTAATGAGGTCTCTATTTGCGGGAAAGAGACAAAAAGATGCATCTTGATACGGACCCAAGCAAACACACCATGTCAACAGCAATAAAATCTGCCCATCACGTTATATATCGGGAGAGAGGATCAATTTTCATTTTGCCTCAACATTTTCTCTCAATTGTTTCTTCACCGATATTCATTTCTAAATAATTTATGCAAAGCGGGGTTGGCTACACAGAGCGACAGAGTGAAGGAGAAAAGGTTCATTAAATCACTGTGCAGAAAATGAGCCTTTCAAGAGAACATGTGAAAAGATTACGTGCCTGCCCCAAGTATAGCGATATTTCACTTAAAATATACCCATGAGGCTGTCCTTGCCAAAGAGAAGACATCTGCTTTTACCAAAATGAATGGCCACGCTTTGCCCTAAGGGTCTACTTATTTATGGGATTCTGGCCGTATGCTGGTTGCTTTCCTATGACATACAAACTTCTGTGAGTCCCTTAAACCCTGCTGCTCCACTCATTCCTTCCTCCTAAATAGCAGGCTGTGTCAGAATACAGGCCCCCTAGGATTAGGCCAGGCCAATTAGGATCTGACAGTTAAGAGGAGTGTCAAGACATTCAGAAGACAGGCTAGTTCTAAGAATAAAAGGTAAAGAAGTAAAAATTGTGTGTGTGTGTGTGTGTGTATGTCTTTGCACATAATAAAAAGAATACATTATGTATAGTAGTATCTAGAGACTTCAAATATAAATTGAAATCCCCCAGACCAATCAAAAGACCCATGGCCCAGCTTCAAGAAAGCCATGACACAACTTTACAAGACTAAGATGTACCTTATGCCCACCCCCAGACTCACACCACAGCGTGGGGTCTGTGACCAGCTGGGAAGGTTGAGATCCCAAGGCCCGTGGAGATGTATGTGAAGGTCCAGGGTCCCAAGATCCCCGGTGCCTTATGTCTAGACTGTGAATCACCAAACACCATGCTCCTCAAACAATCCCAAATAAATGTGTTTTTTTTTTTCCCCTTCTCTTTCCCTACTCTTTACAGCCCTGTCAGCCCTGTTAGTGCATATACTTAGAGCTGTCTATACTGGGGTTCTAAATCAATGACGTTTTATTTAAAATATAAACTCAAACCCTTACAAAACACAAGTCCCAAAAGCAAAGGGTACGGATGTAAAGGGACCGTCCAGTATGGCAAAGCCGTGTAGGATCTCTGGACGTGTCTGAACTCTGGATGGGCCTGAAATCCTAGGACGGGCTCTGTAGCTGTGGGCAATTCCTTTATTCACAGCACGCGAAATTCTAGATCTTACTCACTATCCTGCCTGGCTTCTCTCTGACCCCTGAGACAGGAAGAAACCCTGATTAGGTATTTGGTCTACCAAGTTGGCAACAAGACCCAAAGCTCTGACGTCCTTTCAGCTGTCTAAGCTCCTGTAAGGAATCTCAGTGTCAACCCAAAGACACAAGTGCTCAGGCAGGACGGTGACACAGCCAAACGCCGAGGTTCTAAGAACCAACAACAGAAGACCTTGAGAACCTGAAAGTCAAAATTCCACCGCCAGACGGCACCCAACGGCAGTGATTTGGATATGCAAGCCTCATGAGGGTCCTGCTTCTCAGCCAACTCAGGAAGATCTAGGCAACACTAGGAAGAAGTGAGGTTCTTCTCAACCCCATCTGCCATCAGCAACCGCATCCAAAGATCCCAGGTTCCTGCTCTGGCTGAGCCCTCACGCTGGGAACACGGGGGTCCCAGGGTAAGAGAGAAGAGGAGCCTGGGGCTGCTAAAATGAGGAACATTCTAGACCAAAGGATAGGAGCGCTGACACTGCTGGTTCTCTCTTCAGAACTGACTACAAGGAAAAAAGGCGTAGGTAGCAAGACACCAGACGTAGATTAACCTTACGTTTGTTGTATTCCATTCTTTTCCATGGAATGGTGAAAACTTACTCAATATTTCATATGACTGACAAGAGCCCTTGCCACCAATGATGGAAGAAATGATCTCCGAATTTATGCATCATCCCTTCTCTGGGGAAACGTCTCTAGGAAGAGCAGAAGTCATTCCTTGTAAGAGGAAGTGAACACATTCTCTGAGGTTTTGCCTAGCCTAAGACCTTCAGGGGGTCTCCACAAGGGGCTGATTTTGAGAATGCAAGAGACAGTCCATGCTCATTTCACCTGGACCAAGCATACCAACAGCAACAGCTAAGCCACATATACCTCAGGCTGGATTCCACCAGTGTGCATCCAGAGCAAGGCAACAGATGTGAACATCTGTTCACACCCCCTAGATTTACCCAGAATGTCAATGGTCTAAAGTCACCCATTGGCCAAGCTGCCAATAGGTGTGAGTAGATTTTAATCCAAGCAAACCACTGGTAAATTGTTGGCATATACACAGGTAAATTTTTTTAAAAGTCCATGTGACAAAATGTCACTCAAGTCCAATGGGATCTGGACCCTGGAGGAGAAATTCTATATAATAGTTTTCATTTCTTTCTAGGGTAAATAAACTTTTGACTGCTCGATCTCCCTCTGCACCTCCCTGTCTTACCATTCACGGGACAGAGTACCCACCTTCTGGGTGATTATTTTTAATGGAACTTAGAGTTTTTTTGCTAGTCTTCTAAACTTGTCTGGTGTGTCAAACACAACACCAACTCTGGCCCAACCAGCCCAGAGAAACACTGTCTTCTACTTGGACGGAGAGCCTCTGGGGGGAGTGAGATGACCTTCACCAGTCAGAAAAGCAACTGGACGCAGCCAGCAGTCCCAGCAGCTGACCCAGTGTCATGAAACCAGTTTTCTCTGAACTCGCTGCCCATGGGCTACTTTAAAACATAGCAAAGAGAGAGAAAAGTTTAATTCTTGACTAAATGCAGTTAACCACCTTGTGATCAGCAGGGCTTGGTGCACGCAGCACCTCACCTGGGAAATGCAGGGAAAGAACAAGAAATTATGGCACAAAAATGTCTATAAGGTGACCAGATGGACAAAGGTAACTGGAATGCCAAAGGCATTCTGAGATTTTTAAAAACTTTTCTCCCCACTGTTACCACAAATTTAATGAACTGCATACCCAAAGTTACTAACACTGAAGCCGGAGAAAAGTTCTCATAGCAGGTGTTCATCAGCCTCAATTTTAGCATGAAAAAGGAATTTAAGAATGAAAATAATTTAAGCAGGAGGAAAAAGAGACAGCCTGCTAAAGCCATCAACATGCCCGCCAACTGCAAAACCAGCTAAAGGAGGTAGGGGTTGGGAGGGACCCTTTTCGTCAAATACCCAAACGGCTCTCTTACTCAATGTGATTCACAAATGCCTTTATTGGCTAACTGTAAATGTCATTTCTCTCGAGACGCATAAAATCTGGCCAAGAGTCATGAAAAGGCTAAGTCTCATTACAGTAGAATAACGACCACCTTTTCCCGTCTTGTGGAAAAGCTGACTGACCAGAAGACGTGAAACACAGAGCAGGAAGAACGGCAGTAAGCTGCCTGCTCTGTGATTTCTTGTCTGTGATTTTAAAAATAAACACCCCCGACGAGCAGGGAAACGGTTTACTTACTTTACACTGAAATCCAAATGTCTGGGGAAATCTATTTTGCCTGCAAGGATTTTTTGATAAATGCCAAATGGGTTGTCATCAAAAAACGGAGGAAACCTGTAAGAAAAATAAACATCTATTTTTAGCAGAGAGCAAGCACGGAAAAAAATCCCTGCTTTGTAGTGAGTACACTGTTTCTGCTCAATGCAAGCAGGACATTCAAAATGTCACCTCCCCTTCAGACCATGAGCAAAGTTCTTTGTATTCTTCACATTTACGGCACTGTGTGGCACATAGTAGGTGTTTGATAAATGTGAGCTGGGCACATGCAAGAGGATGGGTAACACTGTGTCCTGTTTTTCTTTTTTTTTTTTTTTTTTGGTTCGAGTAGACTATACCTCTATAAGCAGCCAGTATTTGAATCTCCATAGTAGATGAATTCACGTAGGTCACACTTAGGGAGGTGGGTGAGAGCAAGGCGGGTTCCTAACTTGTACCTTTAGGCCACAAAGATCTAGCACATTACAGCCAGCAGCCCATTTTTATAAATAAAGTTTTATTGGCAACGTGGCCATCCTCACTCACTTATGTATTATTGTCTATGGCATAGTTATCAGAAGTAAAGATTGTAGTCCTAGCAGAGAAACCAACAGATGTGTCTTCTCTAATACCTTGAAATAGAAGAAAAAAAAAATCTGAAATAAGCTAAATAAGAAATATACTTAAAACTGCAAAGAGCTAGAAAAATCAAAGAAAATAGAGAAGTTAATAAATATATGCCAGATACCTACCTATATGCCCCGAGGCACAAGTTGTAATTTTGGTATTTGCTCGCAGTGCTGAAGACAAAGACCCTGAACTCAAAAGGACACCGCTAACTGGATCCTTTAGAAATAGGACTTCTACATTGGACAGCCACATGCAGAAGAATAAAACTGGACCATTTCCTTACACCACACACAAAAATAGACTCCAGATGGTTGAAAGACCTAAACGTGAGACAGGAGTCCATCAAAATCCTAAAGGAGAACACAGGCAGCAACCTCTTCGACCTCAGCC